TCATGTAAAAGCTCGGTACATAAAGTTGTTGCGAGAGATAAATCTTTACATAATGTTGTTCGTTTTTCATGTCGAAAGCAAAGACATACAGTTTATTCTTGATATTTGTCTAGATCTAATGCCTTTAGTGTCAAACCAAGCATGAAATGAATCATTAAGTTTGTAATTGCTAGCCATCTCTGACCCAAACAAGTATGGGTATCAAATGATAAAACTTAGTAAGAAGTGGATCCATAAGTTAAGAAACACCCGTTCTTTCATACACATTTCAGAGCAGAAAACCACAACACTTCACAATATGAACACAATGTGCAGCACACAAGGCTGTTGTTGACGTGTTTACCAATATAATTATCCACATAAGTTGGGTCCATATCTGGGAAACACTCTAAAAAGTTCCAAAGATTATCATGACACAATTGAAATGTGCACCACATATCATCAAGATATATAAAACGAGTCAGTTTTAGATGTTGATTCAATCAGTGGCAACTGGCAGCTAATATCATCATTCATAAGAGTATCAACAAGTTTAATGCGAACCACATTCAGCTTACACCAGAGGTGGATACTGCTTGGCTTGTTGGCGAACCCTCTTCTTGTACTCAACAGCATCCTGCACAACCATCAACTCTTCCATTTAACAATACATAATCAGAAATGGTTGGTTATCTGATTCACAAAAATTCAGGTTATTATGTACACCTAACAGACTACCAACTGCTGTCTAGCAGTTCGAAATCTCTTCGAACAGAGTTTGGTTCAAATCTGGTTGTAGGAACCAATGCCTTTCTTAGGGACATGGCATCGAAATCCGGGATCGATCCAGACCCCTTTGTTTTTCCATTTTGAAAAGCAACTATTCTCAATATCTCACTTTCCAGGTTCACATGCTGATCTAGAAACACACCTATTGTATGCCTCTTTTGTTGTATCTAATCTAGAAACAATTAATATCAAAGAATACATGAGATATTTTCTCTGGAAAACAATTTTTACACAGTTCAAACCCAGAGGACCATGCAGATAGGGCCAGCCATCATGAAAAATCCATTTCAGAAATTTTATGTGCAATACTAAACAGTAATGATTATTATACTAGAAGAGCACTGATTATCGTGGAGTCGAGGTAATACTGATGACTAAAATAATCAAGGTGAAGACACAACAGACAATCAAATAATTAACCGATTTCTTCTTTGCATTGTCGTTTTGCTACACTGCCCACCCTTGACCAACAAATGAGTCTTTTAAAACACTACACATTCGTGAGCAGGTCAGAGGCCAACTATTGAACGTGTTAAATACGTGAACTTCTGATTCCCATCCCTTCACACAAAATTGTGAACCAAATCCCTTCACTAGTGTTCTATCACCGAGTATATACCACTACATATTACACTTAGCATGGGAAAGGATTGCACTTTCCACTGCCCTATGGAGAAAAATTATAAAGCACATAACGTGGTCAGATAGATCAAAATTCAAAACGAACAATGAATCTAGTGATTGAGATACCTGGATGAAGAGATGATAACCTTCTGTCTGAGCAGGATCAGCAGGATTTGGTTGATCCAGCAAATCCTGGATCCCAACAAGAATTTGTTTAACAGTTATGGCTGGTCTCCACCCCTACACATGAAGGGAGAAAATTCAGGAATGGGTCAGGTGACGTCTCAATAAACGTACAGCAATAAGTTATAATTTACTACTCACACTATCTTCATTGAGAATTGACAGGCAGACCGTTCCTGACGGGTACACGTTAGGATGGAAGAAACCCTGAGGAAATCTACACTTTGGTGGCTTACTTGGGTAGTCCTCACTGAAGTTGAGTGTAAGGGGAAAGAAACCACCCTCCCAGTCTGTCTGTAAGAAATTAACGATTTTGTCGACTTTAAATGCTACAGAACTTCAGAGCATCGTCATACTTAAAAAGTTGGAGAACAAATTCCACAGAACAATAGACAACATGAAAAGAAGTCATGTCGACGGGAACATCAGCAGAAACATAGCACCGTGTAAATCATTGCTTTGATTTTGATTTTTGAAGAGACAAACAAATCATTTATTTGTTCACTGCTATTTTACCAAAAGAGACGATATTCGTCTGACATTTTTAACGTCAAGTGGCACGTTCCTCTATCAGTTAAATGATATTTTCTGAGAAATCCAGAAAGGTTAAGGAGTGTAAGATTTCATATAGTCTTTAAAGCTTTCCCTCGGAACACCGCCTAGAATCTTTTTATAACTAGAATTCTTTTCTGATTAGAATCAACAGGAGAACTTGTAATCCCCATGGTTTTGGGTTGATTTCTAAATCACCCTTTTGTATTTTGCTATCTCTAATGATAGTACTTCCCCATTAAAACGATATGAAGAACAACAACGACAAATTAAAGGCTCTAATAGGACAAACACCAATTTTAATTACATGGGAAATCAACAAATTAGGCAAGGAGTATAGATTAAACACAAATGACTAGACCCTTTCCAACTAAATTATTATGCTGAATATCACTATTACCAGAATGTATACTTCAAAACTAAGAGATTCCCAAACGTCTAAGGTTGCTTGAGTGAAAATAAAGTTCTAGCGTAAAGAGAGAAGATGTAAGTTTGAAGCAAAGATCAAGTACAGAACCGGTGAAGTAACCAGATAAAAAGGGAAAAGAAAATCCAAGGATAAATCAAGTTGGTGAAGGATCCATTCAAATAGACAAGAATTAGGGCATGCAAGATATTGCAATTAGGCATGAACTGCATAATATCAAAAACAACAATCAACCCATAAATCAAAACCCGAATTCAAAACACATCCACAAAAATTGCAAGAGAAAAGCATACCCCAACTTTGCCAGGAATAATGCAATGCCAAATCATCAAATTGACCGTTCCATCAGGCATAGTCTCCGGTTTCGCAACAAAACCCTAAAAAACACGAAAAAATCAAAACAAAACCAAGGTCCTTCACCGTACAGAAGACAACATAGCAAAACAAGAAGCGAATACCCACATGCGGATGATTCTTCCGCCACGACTTCCGCTCCTCCGCAAGACGACCTCGTGCAATACCACCGGACATGGCTGTCGGTCTCTGTATCAAGAAATCAACAAATCTTCGACCCCTGAATCGGCGATCCCACCACAGGAAAGAAGGAGAGAAACAGCCGGACACACTAGACTTATAGGAGGAAGAGAGAAGTAGTGGAGCAGTCGCAGAGAGTCGGAGTTGAATCAAACGTACGGCTGAGATTCATGAGTGAAGCATAAAATCGGGTTTTGAATTTGGATAAATATCGAGGGAAAATTAAATTCAAAAGTCAAATCAGAATCTGTGGGATTACTCTTTTCTTTTTTCTTTATCTCTTTTCTTTGGAGTTCGAAAACGTCGCTTGAGAATCACGCCAATTCTCGAAATGGCGTCTCGACACTTCGGCATGGCCTCATCATTCAACACCGCCGCTTGTTTTCTTCTTAAATTCCGACGCGAACAATTTCCTTTCTTTTTTCTTTTTTCTTTTTTCTTTTTTTCTTTTTCTTAAAATTCCACTTTTCCTATTATTAAATTATTAATTTTAATTAGTAACGTCCATAAAAGTTTATTAAAGTTGAAATCAATAATAATATTAATTTTAACTTTCTAAATTTACTCGAATAAAACTTTTTTGACAAATAATTTAAATTTAAAATAAAGATTCATTAAATATTCAACTAATTGGATGACAAAATCGAAAATAATTTTTGATTCGCAAATATATATATATTAGCATTTTTCTCATATTCTATACCCAATTTAATTGGTATATATTTCTTTTTTTGAGATCCGGTCTCATACCCGATAATCAAAATTAATAATGTATGACATTTCGAAAAGAAAAAAAACGGAATATTATTTAAACCTACAATTTACTTAAATTTTATTTGACTATACTGCATTATTGTCAACCATTAAAGTTATAATAGTCTCAAATTAATTTTTTTTAGAGATTCTTTTTAAAAAAATTATGGCTTTCAAAAATTAGGTGGAACGTTAAAGTATAATTTTAGTACCACACTAGTGCACGGACGTGTCAAGAACAAGCTAGGGGAGAACCTTAGAATAGAGTTGGTGGTTGAGAGAGAAGTATTATTTAGTGGACATTAAAAAAACTAAGAACATAGCACATGCTAGATGTGATAATGGTACAACCTTTAATCTTTAGGAGGGTATAGTGTGCTCATAATGATACCATGCCATTTATGGTGGCTAGCTTTGGAGGGTATGGCCAAAAAATTTCGTTGGGTTCCACATCAATTGACTCGATATACTTCAAAATTATCTATTTGTTTTCAAACTCAAATGAGAGATCGGTCGATGTGAAGAACATGTCTGAAAGTGATCTTAAAATTGTTAAAAACACTTTTGTCGTGTATAAAATACTGTGATGAAACATGTTTTTAATCATGTAAAATCATTTTATATTATATTAGAATCGAGTTTAAGAGTATATGTCAAACATTAATGTTTGAAAATGATTTTGATTTGACTAAAGTGGTTTTAACTATTTCAATATTAATATACTCGTATAAACTCTCTATTTGCATACCAGATTATATATTCTTTACTTTTTTTTTAATTTAATTCATTTACTGCACACTTTGTTATATAATTTTGAAAGATCGAATTATAAAAATCAGCTTCGAGTAACATACAATGTATGCTTTCCTTAATTCATTTAGGATGCATATTATTTGGCTCGTTCGTGCTATTTTCCAAACCCAACCGTGAGCATATAGTTAAAATTAGTTGTCTTAATATAATCTTATGCCAGCCAATCCAAACATAACGTAATAGATAAAACACCAATTAACATCTCAACAAACAATAATTTAATTTGTCTCCCGAACTAAAAAAGACAACCTCGTACCAAACAAGACAGGTTAAAAGAGTTCCATTTTAATGAGTCTCATATCAAATCAAGCTATCATGGCAACGAAACAATGTTCAAACAATAAGATGAAATAAGTGGGTGACTTTGAGTCTCAACACATGCATTTTGCATAGTTAAAATCACTACTCACAATTCAAAGCCAAAAGGTAACGTAAACTCTCCATCTCTTCCCTAATCAAATAAATTCAGGCTACAATTCACAACAATTAACTACAAAATCTTTTCTTTCATCGCTGTGTCCAAGCTGAATGAAGAACAATTTTATGTGAATATCAATGGTACAACAACAGATTGAATCTAATTTTCGCAAAGAATTTTTAAGTTAAGACCAGTAAGCCTATCAATCAATCAATGATCAGTGAAGCAGTCAACCAATGGATGAAATAGCAGATGCAGGAGAATCCTTAATATAAAGAGGAATTTTTACCTGCAACTCTCTCAGCTGCTCCACCATGTTGTAAAGAAATTCAAAGGTGAGCTTGGATTGTGCATTGAAATCTTCTCTAATGTGTGGATGAATCTTGAACCAATCTCCCAACAACTTGTGTACGTGTGAACGGATCATTCGCCACGGGACAGGGTATTTTTCACAAAGCTTCAAGTAGTCCACCAGTAGATCAGCTTGATCCAGGTTTCCATCCCTGCTACTTTCTTCACAGCCTGCTGTCCATTGCGCGGTTCGAAACCCAGCAAAAAGTGCAGGATTCTCCAGAAGGGTTTCGGCTGAAAGCACGCCCTCAACTCCAGTCTCTTGCAAGCAGTTGTGAACATCTTCCATGTGCCTTATGTTCCCATTGGCAAGAACCGGGATTCGTAGAGCGTTTTTAACAGCACTAATGGCGCTCCAATTAGCTCGGAATTTCTTGCCATCTTTTTCATCTCTTGTGCGGCCATGGACAGCTAAAAGAGAGCAGCCAGCATCCTCTAACATTCTTGCATAATTAATTGTATCCTGTAAATTTGGGAAGACTCGGATTTTGCATGATACAGGAACCTGAAGATTGGAAGCCACTTTCTCTACTATTGCTTTTACAAGAGGTAAGTTGTCCATCAAAAAAGCCCCATAATTTCCTCGCCTTGCAATACGCTGAGGACAACTGCATGAAATTAATAGAGCACTCAAATGAAGTTCAGAAACACAACTGAAATGGAGAACAATGCAGAAAATAAATACAAAGAATAAATACTAATGGGAAGGGACGCTTTACTGAAATGTAAGAGTAGCACATAGTTTGAATATTTGGTTGGGGTTGGATCTAGCACACACATACATGATGGGACCTATCCTTTAAAACAATATAGCATGACCTTGAACTCTTTCTAATTCCGGGCAATGTCGGGCCATGTGTGGGGAAGTCTCATACATCCAACCCTGCCCGAAATTGGAAAGAGCTTAAGGCTATGCTACGTTGTTTTAAGAGAGAGATTTCATCATGTATGTGTGCGCTTGCATTACCCAACCACAACAATGAGGTTACTTACTAAGCATTTCTTAAAATATTCAAGCCATGTGCTACTCTTACATTTCAGGTAGAGGTAAAGCGCCTCTACATGGATGACGAAGAATGTTGGAATGGCCATGAAAGCTAAGATACGATAGTAGTATGCAATGTTTTCAGTTTGTAGTTTTATAGGTGGTTTTTCATTTTCGTACTCAAACATTATGTTAAGGTTTTTATTTTGACGACGTTATTTCTATTTCTTGTTTTAAACATATAAGTCTAAGGCAAAAGAAAATTAGTGGTGTTACCTTTCTAAACCAAACCAAAAGCCCCACAAACCAAACATTACCCAATCTGTTCTGCCTCTGAACCATCATCGTTTCAAAATAGCCCAATTATAGCCGTTAATATTTCTGAGAAACACAATACTGACAAGAAAGGTATTGTTAAATGATCTTTAGAAAAGCCTATTGAAGGAGGCCTGAGGATATATGATCTGATAAGGAAAAACATCTACCTCCTAGCAAAGTGGATTTGCCGTTCTTATCGTGAGAAGGAGGCCCTTTGGAGAAGAGTGTTATTGCTCCAAAAAATGGAACTACTCATTTCAACTAAAAAACGGGTAGGAAATCATTATTCTCCTCAAGAAGTCCACCAAAGTCTATTGAAAATGTAGCGACACTAGTTTTCTAAAGACTTAGAGTCGTTACCATATGCATGACGTAACTCCTATATACAAAAATATTCATTTAAAACGAATTCATAAAACAATGTCATGGACTTGTATGTTTAAGAAAATGGTTTTAAAACAATACAAAGAAAATATTCAAAGTAAATTAAAATAAGCCAAGGAAAATATAAAAATAACAATGCCCGGTACGAACCTAAGATCTACGAAAATAAATGCAACTACCTTACGCAAGTTTCATGGTTTTTTGTGCGCCTTTGCATTTACCTAAAATATAATAGTAGCACATGACTTGAGTATTTCTTAAAATATTAATGAATAGAGACTTATCATTTAAAACCATAGTCTCTTAAGTAGCCTCCAGTCCGAATAAATTGGATTTGTAGTACTTCCTTACACATGACTCACATATGCGAACGTGAGCCCACCAGGTGGGCTCGCACACCCCCTGGGCCTGCATGGTCGGGATAGATAGTTGTAGCCAGACATCCAGAAGTACGACGACATCATGTATCATGCCAAGTATAATAGTCGTCATCATCATAGTATACGTGTTTGTACTTATCATAAAAGGAGAAGTATCCCGATGTAAATAGACATACAATATGCATGAAGTCCTTGTACTTTTCATCTTAATCATTCATGCAGCATAACCTCACATATTACCTTAGGAAATATGCATGCATAAGCTTCATAACATTACTCAAGGGTACTGGAAAACTCTTCATTGCCAGACATGTCCTATCATAGTGCAACATGGCATCTTATACATGCATATCATCGTAATATGAGATATCATCATACTATGTCATATCCTCATACATCTCATGTCATCATAGTGTTACATCATCGTCATAACATACCATAACACTTCAAATCATCATAATATATCAACATATATGACATGTGCATGGGCCACTGGGCACGTGTCATCATACACAATACAAATCTTCCGATCAAGCTAATAGCAGGGCCACTTACTTGATTGGCCTAGGATTTTACTCTCTAAAATGTAATTCTACTTGAGGATTCTGCTTTCTAAAATGTAATTCTACCTGAGGATTCTTCTCTCTAAAATGTAACTACCTAAGGATTCTGTTCTCTATAATGTAATTCTACCGAAGGATTCTACTCTCTAAAATGTAATTCTACCGATACTCTCTAAAATGTAATTCTACCGAAGGATTCTCACAATCATAAAATAGAATTTTAAGATGAGAATTGGTTCACCTAATTTTGCATGAAACAATTTAAACTTACCCCTAATAATTTAGACTAGCTGAACCAAATTTTGTATAAAATAATTTAAACTTAACTCAAAAAATTTTAACTAACTAAAAGATAGTCATACTAACCTTAAACACTTCCGAAGAGTTGAAACTAGTAGGAAAGGATCTTAGCGTATCAAACCCAAGCCAAATTAGCCAAAATGCTAGCTTGAAGCTGTCAGAAAATGTATTCTCTGACTGACTTCGAATCGTTCAAGTGAGATGAAAGGAAGTAAGGGACCTTCGCCTAACTCCCCAACTTTTCAACTTAAGCAACGTGGGACAACTTCTTCTTCTTCTTCTTCTTCCTTTTTTTTTTTTTTTTTTTTTA